CTCCCCCTCACTCTCCCTCCCCCTCACTCTCTCTGTCTTCCGCCCCGTGCTTCCGTGGCCCCCTACTCTCCCCTTTGTCCTTCTCCAGTTAGCTTCTTGACCTGCTTTCCTTCCTCGTGTGCGTGGGGGCCTGGCGGGGCGGGCTGAGGCGGCTCAGGAGGAGGTATGGTCGCGCCGCGCTCTCGACTCGCGCCGTATATATATTCCTCCCGCTCGCTCGCGAGAACTGGCGAGAGCCACGCACGCCGTTTCGAATGACGACGCCAGGGCGGGGCGGTTGATGCGCCGTGCTACTACCCTGCTGGGCCGGGCCGAGCACGGAGCCATGATTCATCCCTCCCCACGTGTGCTGCTGGCTGCAGCTCTCTTTGGCGACGCGTCTCTTCTTCCTCCTCTCATTGTTCACCGCTGTTTTTGCCGTGGGTGCCAGCTTGTTGCTCTATTCTCTCACCCCCCCCCTCCTCACCTCTCCCCTCTCTTCGCATATCATCCCTTTTCCCAGCCAAGGGAGGAGAGGGCGTGTCGGGGCGTTTGCTGCGGAAAAGCGTACCTCATCGGGAAGGTAGAATTCTTTCTTTCAACCTTTGTGAGCGTGGCGGTTATTTTGACTATTTCCTAGTATACTTCAGAGAAAGATTTGTATCCCATTCGTCCGTCTTTTTGTGATCTATTTCTATTTAGTATTTTACTTACTAAAATTTTGTAAAATCTTGTTTGAAAAGCTGTTTACTTGAAATGGGTTTAGAACCGTTTATACACGTGTGAATTCTGAGTCTTTCAGGTAAAATGTTATGATTCATTTCTTTTAAACGTGTGTTTTCATCTTCTGATGCAAATTTAGGTCGCATAGTTCGTCGACTTTGTTAACTTTTTACTTTTGTCAGAGTACTTATGGGGAAGGCGAACAGATTGAAGCGCGCCCAGCTAGTAGTTCCACCAGGGCATGCACTTATCTTTTCGTGGAATGGGACACTGTCAAATTTAGTTTTGTATAGTTTCCTGTGAGCGAAAGTGTCAATTTTGCCATTTCTGTTCTTCGTGGATGTGGGGGATTATTGCTTTCGGTGCCGTGCGCGGAAAGTCACGCGAACCTTACACTCCGCTCACTAAGTTTCTCAGTTGAACTGTTGAACTCAAAGCTCACGAATAAGGCGTGCTTCGAGCGACTCACGCCCCTCATATATTGTGCACTTTCCTTATCTCGCAATGACACCACCCTGCAGGTCGGACTCTACCCCCTCCCCCGGTGGCAGTACCCCTTGCGCGGCGATACCCCGGCCTCCGAGAGACCCCAACGGCGCTACCCTCAGCGCGCGCCGCGCTGCGCACACCCCCCGCCGCAAGGCACCGTAGCCCTACCCCTGGCTGATCGCTTGCCCTCGCCCTCACTCATCAACTGTTCATGGCCAAAACCGCCCACTTGCGCCCACACTGGCCTTATCAAAAGATTTTCCGGGTCCCGGAGCCCTGCCGGCAAGGCCATGCCGAGGCTGGGTTTCTAGCTCCTTTTCGTTCTATGAGAATCACTTATTCTGTAGAGGTCACCCCTGAGTAGCTGGCAGCTACGGCGGCGGCGCCGCGGCGCCACTTCCTGTCAGGTCAGAATGTTGTTTCCGTTCACCCGTGCGCCTTTCTCCCAATACGATTCTGCTCCCCGGGCGGCGCAGAGGGGTGGATATGTGTCTGGCTCCGGCGCGCCACCCCAACGCCGCGCCCTCCCCCTCGTGGCCCTCCCCTCCCCACCAGCCGGCGAGGGGAAGGGAGGCGAATGCCACTTCTTCAACTTGGAGCCGCCGTGGCTCCCTGTGCGTCCGAGCATGGAGCTGCACGACGGCTCTGATTTAAAGACGCCCCCCCCCCTCCTGTAACTGCATGTCATGACCAGAGGCCGTTCTGGAAGGACGTTGTGTGCAGTACGAGCGGAAGTATCTACCCGCTTATAGACGGGGGATGGGACGAGTTAGGTGTGCAGTCCCAAACCGTGGCCGTGTCTGGAGGGTAGCTCCCGTGGGCGTGGGTACGATCTCCAGGGTGTGTTTTTGTTTTAACACTGGAGGAAGTTTGCTCGTTTTCACGCACATGCTGTCCGACTTGAAGGTCGAGTGAGATGTAATGTACACCGTAGCAAGGGATTTTGCAAAAAATAAATGCGATCTACTCCAGTGTTGTTTCGTGAACATTTTTTTTATTCTTTCCTGAGGTCAAATCAACAAAGTATAGTCTAAATCTGGACTTCAACCAGATGAATGGAGCTCTTCTCCAACAAGTAGCCGCCGCGAATATCTTTTTGCGCGGATGATTTGCTTTTTGGAAAAGAGGCTGCACTCTATTCTGATAAATTATATGTGCGGTTTTTGCTGAAAACTTAATTTCAGTCAAGGGACAATACTGGGCTGTAACTTTAGGTGACTTTGGTATCCATATTGACTGGATTCATTTACATAATTTTTTAATATCGCAAAGGTTTAATTTGTGTTATTGCTAAAGACAGCTTCATTTTATAACAATTGGTGCTGAATCATAGCGAGCGCACTGAAATTTGTAACCACCCTAACACGGCCGCAGAGCGACCACTCCCATTTCAATGGCACTAAAGCTTAACTCTTATTGTATTTTCAAAATGATCACAAAATTCACGTTGATTGGCGATACCGAATCTGCGTATTATTTTGACTAGATTAACATATTGCACAACGCAGTCCATGCGGCCACTGTTTCCTTTCGTCTCGCTACAATTCACACACCTGCATTATTCTAGAGTTCGAAAGTCTATATACACTCAAAACAATACATTTCAAATAAGATAGTTTCGGCCCCTGATCCTCTATGGGGACGGCGTAACAACGTTTAAACCAAAGCTTTGCAAACAAACACAAATAAATCAGACTCTATTTCAGAATGCGTGATAGATAACTACAAAACAAAAACAAGTACATCTATGGA